AGGGAATGGTAATATGTTTTTGTGTGCAATGTAACTATATATTTGAGAGAACACTGAGAGGGAGATGCAATAATAAACTTCAAATACATTAAATGTATTTGCAAAAGAGAAGAGAACAGATTATTCTAGTCATCCATGGATGTCGCAGGAAGAAATCAACTTCAATTGCACCAAGGGAAATTGAGATAGTATTTTTGGACAACTTAGAAAGTCAGAGCTAATTGTTCACATACCTGCAGCCCACTCCCCTTAATATATTCCCTATGTAAACCCAATCCTTGCCAGGACACAGGTACAGAAATGTCAGGAGAGCACGAGTGAGGAATGGCTGGAACATGGAGTGTGCATCACACACATGTTGCAAACTCATGCATGGCAGGTCACCCCGTGTTATTTCTGAGGGAAAAACATCCCAATCCTCCATTGCAGTTAAATATTAAACTGGACATGGGAGTTTTGGAGATACCTTGTTTAGAACAACTCAACATTGATGAATGTGTACCATTTTCTCCAGATAATGTTCAGTTGTAGCAGTCGTCATGCCAGCAGACATAAATTTATTAGGTACACTGTCTGGACGTTTAATTGTTAGGAAAAATAAAGAACTGAACTGAATTAAATTGAGAAGACTCAGTCTAAAAAAGCATGGAGGGAGAGGGTAACTCCTGGTAACATGGGTCTAGTAGAAGAAGATAAGGTAAGGAAGGGTAGTTAACAGCTCAGCTGTATGATCAGAGGACCAAGAATTGATGAAAACTTAGTGAACAACTTTAAGCAGAAAGCAGGCTTTCTTTGGTCTGATAAGTTGTCATGTGAAATTAACCACAAATATTACATATTTTTACAATTTTTACTGATTAGAAGCTGGATGTTTTGGGCTATGATTTTTTTTTCAAATGTGTTTTCTCTAATGCCTGTGAGACTGAGATCCAAACACTGTGGAACTGAGGTCCTCCTGCCTTTTAATGCTTTGGGTCAGAATGTGCTAAAAGCTTGGTCTGGGCATCTCTGAACTGGAGCATCACAGTTCAGAAGCAGGCAGCTAATAGAGCTAGGGAGCAAATAGCTATGCTGGGATAATTTCCTAATCCTAGCCAGCTTTCCATATTTGTGTGTACAGAGAAAATAATACTGGCTGAAATTTGAGTTCAAGAGAGAAATCAGAAGGAAAAATTTACTTCTCCGGTCTGTCCAATCTTCACCTATAGCCTGTTTAATTATGTGTATATATAAGGTACAGAGTTTTATGGCATCGCTGACAGGCTCACTGTATCATGTCTACAGATACGTTAAAAATGTGAAGGTCACAGTAGGAGCAATGTATCCATTGGTGCTTTATTGCTATTTCTTCCAAATTTTCAGTGCCATGACACTTGGAAAATTGTATATGCTGTTTTAAGGCCTTTTCCAACGGACCTGGAAGTAAAAGAGAGCTACGGGTTAATTTTCTTTTATGTAAAAGCCACTCAAAAGATTCATCACCAACAGGGCAGCAATTGTATAGAAGAAATTAAGCTGTAGGGAAGATTATCAAATACCATATGTTTTCACAGTTGATTAGCAGGTGTTTTTTACAGCTGTGTGCAACAATTCCCAGAGTTCAATTTCAGCCTTTGAGCTGATATTGTCACTGCCATGGTGCAGTGGGCTAGTGTTAATATTCTGAATTGTAGTATTATGCAATATTGGGAACATGAGGAATCATGTCATCTTTAAAACTAGTGGAATTGCTTTCTTTATAATGTATTTCAATCAGTTGTGTTTCTTTGTTTTCAATACATGAAAAGCAATCACTCCTGCAGCTCACACCCTTAATTCTCAGCAGACTTTTAAGCATCTTTGGTGCTGTGCAAATTCAATGATCAGTCATCACTAAAATTTGTGAGATGAAAATAAGAATGCTGTTATATGAGCTTATTTGGTGCATTAATGATAGGTACAGGTGCTAAGAGATTATCTTAGTCACTAGGAAAACTGCATTCAGCTATTTGTTTATTATAAATGGCTCAAATTATTTACATATAGTATTATTGAATTTCATAAGGTAGCAGTAATAATTCACAGCACCAAGAAGGAGATATTCAAATATTTTAAATCACACTATTTTTTACAGAACAATTTCCCTTAAGTAATTAATTTTCACTGAACTCCTGAAAAGCATCTGGGTATGTTATATATATGTATAATTTCTGGTTTACAGACCAAGAGGCCAGGGTCACAGATTCCCAGCTGTGAAGAAGGTACTGGCAAGAGCTTTCTGAGCCTACAAAGCAAGCTGATACTAGTTTTCTTTCATTTATTCCTATTTTCAAGACCCTACATAGCAGTTCTCTCTTCCAGTTCAGTTCAGCTTCAGACAGAACTGCTAACATACTGATGAGCTTTTAATGAAGCATTTTTATAGTTTGCTTTCTACCCTTTCAGTATATGTCATGGTAAAATATTAAATCAGTAGGACTTTACAGATGATACTTGATAATAGGATCTTACCTCACAGAGCTTAAAATTTTTATTAGTGTTTATAGTACTGGTTTGAGGTATTTCACATAGTATTTCCCTGGGCAACTGTTAGGAGAGATTTAAATGTTTAACATATGTGGCTATGCACAGTAATATAACACATGATTTTACCATTGCTATCTGTATGTCCTTTTCTTTTTTTCTTTTCATAATTTCTTGCTTTAGCAAATTGTTCTTTTTGAATAGGATCCTTGTACTTAACAGTCTTTGCCTATGAAACTTCCCAGAGCAGGAGTCCTAGCTGAATGGGTGGCAAGATCTAATAAACCTTTAACCTTTTCTTGTGTGTACAGGGAGGGCAGGGGACAGGGGGAAGCTAACTGTGAACTCCTGCAGGGATGTTTCATCCAAGATAAATGGCTTTTCAAACCTGGCCAGCTAGCCAACATGCAAATGCGTATTCTGGAAGTTTGTGTCCAGCAGGGGCTTCTGCAGATATGAAACTGTTAGGAGAGTTTAGTTCAGGTTTCTAGCACATAAGAAAAAGGACTTCAAACAAAACTACTTTTCTGGAACGGATGTGATATTTTTGGCTTTGTTGTTACTTCCTCTTGTTTAAACTGCTATCCTGTATATTATTTTTCCATGAAATAGAGAACTTTAAATTGTTGGGGTTTTTTTAAAATCCTGTTTCCTATTTTAAAAATATTTAACCTTCTCAGTGAATATGCTGTGCATGGTAACACATGATTACCTCTTGGAAGTGCCTGTTATTTAAAGAAGAGATTTCAATCCATGTTTTAGGGTCACGCATGAACAAAGTTCACTTTCACTTGCAGTAACATGCTGATCCCAGAAGGTGACAAATGTGCTTATGAACCTGCAGTAACCAGAGAACAAGCTCCTGAATTAGCTTATCCTTATCAACACTGACTAAATGTTGAGTCACAAATAATTGTGGGAGAATGCCTTTGGAAGCTTTTGGAAACTTCAGCTGTATTTGACTCTAAAAGACATGTTTGGCACCTAAAATTGAAGAGAAGACCGTGCAATTTTGAAAGACTATTTAGTGGGTTAGGTATTCAGAACTCACTCTATCCCTTACCTAATTATCCCTCATACTCCCTGTTTAAAGGATGGAGAAACTGAGGCTGGCAAAAGAAATAGTTAACAGGGATCACAAAAGAAGCTCTTGATCCTTTGAGCAGAGCAACAGTCTGGCTGTTTATCAACCAGCTGGCCAACTTTATGTGTTTATTTCTATAAAAGATGTGGCAACAGTGCAGACTGACCTATGTGTGGTCTATCTGTGACAGTCATTTGTCTAAGGTAGCTGTTTCTTTGTGTTTCAGAGGCAGCCTGTCTCCATCGAGCTGATCCATACTGATTTACTTCTTCCTCCTGTGGTGTATAGCTGACTTGAGATGAGAAATTCTGGTTTTATTCTGTCTTTAAATCCTGTTTTTATTTTTATAACCAACATGAAAGGTGCTCAACGATTCAGCCTACCCTTAGCGGAATCCTGTTCCCAGTAATGAAATTTCTTTTTTGTCCAATGTTGTCTTTCTGAAAGAAACAAAGATCTTTTGCAAAAGCAAAACTCGAGCATACTCTTTGAATTAGGAATATTAATCGCTGATCATGAGACATTTACTGTCAGGCAAACAAAGAAAAGAGCTGCGTCTCTATGAAATGTTCTATTTTGGTATTTGGATGATCAGACCATAGTAAAACATAAACCTCTTAATTTGTGGCAAATTAGAACAGCCTTGACAAATGCAGAATTAAATGAAGATATTAGCTATGGAGCTAGTTACTTGTGCAACTATGTAGTAGCTGAGATATAGCATAGATAAAAAGGCTCTGAATCTTTTTTCAAATTATTTGCATTCCAGCATCTCCTTCTTGTTTTATTTTCTTTAATGTATTTATTTTTAACCACTCTATTGACTTCCTGCCTGGCATAACAGATTTTCAAGGAATAGAAGTTTTCATCTGAAAAGTTTACCTTAAAACAGCAATTTCAAGCATCCACATTCAAGTTCCCTGTAAGGACCCTTATTCTCTTCAGAGTGGGGATCACATTACATACTAGGCTTTTGAAAAGCAACAGCACCACTGCCAAAGTCTCTCTACCCTTAATGACTTCTCATGTGTCGCGTAGCCTTTTTGCTGTCAAATGCCATTGGAGTGCAAATAGTTTGGTCCTTGCTAGGGCATGGACCTTGCTAGGGCAGCGACCTGCATGTCACTGAACTGAGTGCTTTTAGGATACGCATCTCTATATTCACTTCATTTGGAAATAGAGATATATATATATATGTAAAGAAAAGAATGGATGAAAGGCACTTTTCTGCTGAATAATTTGCTCTTTTCTCTGTTTTAGTCAAATACATGAGAGTAGTTTATTAATTAGTTGTGCTGGAGTTGCCAAACTTGGCTGTATATCTGAGCAGCCTGGATGGAAAGCCTTTGCAACTGATATTGTCCTCAAGCAGCTGATCATCAGAGCTTTTCCTTCCCATACCCAAACCAGCAAAATGACCACATCCAGCAGGCAGAGCTCTTCTACGTCTATGGTCAACAACTTGGCCAAAATATTCGATCCAAACACTTTGCAAAACCAAGGGCCAGATAATGGAATGGAACCTCCTCAAACTCTTCATGTTGAGAGAAGTGATGTCAGCACGTCTGAAAGTTTCAACATCATGGATGTGAAGTTTGCCTCCCTTGAAGAGAAAATTGATAAACTGTTGACTCTGCAAGAGAATGTCCTTAAGAAGCTTAACAGTGTTTCCCAAGAAATCTGTTGCATTGAAAAAGACATGGAGATGGTAAAGGCGGAAACATCTGAACCTGGATCAAGGATGGAAAGAAACAAAAAAATGAGAAATAATGAAGTGAAGAGACTTTGCCTTAAAATGAAAAAATCTCTTTCTGATATAAACAGGAAAGCAGAGCAGCAGGTTAAAAGGCTAGATGGACTTGAACAAAGTGTTTCTGGACTACAGAAACTTGTAGGACCTCTGGTAGAGAGGGTGAAAACATTAGTAATTCATAATTCAAGTGTAAAACATCATGTTAAAAAACGTAAAGCTTGCAAGGCAGGAGCTGGACATCCCTTTAGGATGCATGTTTTCTCGGAGACAACAGCTGGTGATCTGCTCAAGAAGAAAAATGAAAAGGTGAGCCCAGGTTTGTGTTTCATCTTGGCAGGAATCATTGCGAGCTACGGATAGTTCTGCTACATGCTCAGCTTTTTTGTTTTGTTGACATTTAAGAAAGAACAACCAATGTGGTCTAAAACTGAAAAGTATAAGAACAAGCTGAGCAAGTTTCAGTGGAAAAAATATAGAAAAATCTACTTGTTATACAGACCTTCATTTTTCTCTAATTATTCCTTTGCAGCTGTAAAACATAAAAACAAAGAACATAAAAAAGATTGAGAGACATCAGTAGCCTTGGGTCCTGTCCATGAATTTTACAATGATCTTTTCTGGATTTATAATTATCTGGGGGAATCAAGTTGCTGCAGTCATGGTATGAGCACCAGGGTCTAGAGATTAGTGGAACTGGTAAAAAGCCTCCTTGGGTCAGGGCATGCACATATGTTTGTCCTTTATTTCAGAGAACATCTTAAGTGTGGTGTTCCGATCTGGTATTTCTCTCCATTGGTGAAGACTAGGGGACTTCTAAACTGGGATCTGAGGTAGGGTTACTGTAACTGGAGCTGTGGCTTGTGTAAACTTCCCTGGGTAAAAAATGCCTCTGTTACCATAATGAGAGTTTCATCATGTTCTTTAAAGTTCAGATAAGATACCAAACCAAAAAATCTCTTGAAAGACTCTCTTGACTCTAATAAGTTCTTGTAAGGTAGTTTGAGTATTCTTTTTTGGGAAAGAAAATTAAGGAAGTTCTTGTAACTAAGTATGTTAAGTATTTAAAGTATGTAAGTATTTAATTATCACACTATGAACCAAAAACGTTGCTTTTCATATTCTTTTTTGCTTAGTTTTTTTCTTCCAAAAGTCACATGCAGGCTTTACTCTTTGGTTCATTTAAATAATAGTTCTTGAGGTTTTTTTTTTTTTAAGTTTTTGAGCAGGAAAAACATCATGTAAAGGTATTACTGGAAACAGCATTCCTTGAAGAGAAGAAGCACTGCACCCGGTATTACTCAGAATGGTCTGGTCAGCAAATCATGTGCTTTTCAGCTTGGTTACCCTAAGTCAACACCACTTCTTAGATAGACAAGAAACATTTGAGCCTTCAAAAAAAAACTATAAAAGTATCAGTCAGTGCTGAGTAGCAGCAGAAGAGCATCTTGTAAAGCTCTTTGCGCTGAACTGACTGATCTGTGACTATGTAAGGATACAAATTGTGCAGCCTTGTTTCCAGAGCATCATTAACTGAAGAGAAAAATAGCTTCCTTGCCAAAGAAGACTGTCAACAAAAATTGTCCTTACATGCCCTTCTTGAACATCAGGCTGGACTTAAAAAAAGGACTTTCAACAGGAGAGAAGTTTTCTTGTTTTACAGAATTACTTTGATAAGAAAAGATTATTTATTTTGAGCATCTGAGTTTAGGGCTTCATTTACTTTTCAAAACATTAATGAAAACATCGGCTGTAAAAGTCCCATTGGAGTGACACCCACAGGTCATCTTTGTAAGGCTGCCATTACTGCAGTTTGTCGTAGAGACCTTCTTATCTTAGTGAAAGTACATATTCATCTAAATTATTTATAAATGTAAACTGAATCAGGTCTGGCATGTTAATGAACTGGTACTTCCTGCAGACCAGAGCAGTTGCAAGGCTCTCTGCAATAGAAGCACAGGGCTGGAGAAAGGAGAGGACCTTGCAGGGTTTGGTAGTGAGTTTGTGGGAACCAACAGGTGTAGCAGAACAGGAGGAGCTTGTGCTCGTGACAGGTCAGAGGGGAGCCAGGATGGCAGAGATGCAGGTGCCCTCCGTGGAGAGTTAAGGGCTTTAAAATACCTGGAAGTAGAGGCAAGGGACCTTGAACATGATGGAAAAAGAGGTAGCCTACTGATAAGGATCCAATAAAGAGATGAGCAACTGGAGTTTCTGTCTTTTTCCAAGCAGCTACATTTGTAATTCCCTCACTGATTCATTTTTGTTTCTGCAGACTCTTGGCAATGTTGAGTGGAGTCAGCAGGAACTTGTCTAGCATGTGGGCTTAGGAAAGGCAGCATGAGCATGTCTGGAATCATGCTGATGATATTATTATGTTGTTTATATTTTGTTTGTTTTATGAGATAGCATACATATGTTAGCTTGTCATTACCTCCTCTCTGTGTCTTTGATTTATTAGAAAAGGACCATCATAAAATTACAAAGCTATCCTGTGAACAACAGCTGGCTTTGGTAAACACTTAGTCATCTTAGGTTTAAGTAAAAACAGACTTGGAGTCAGCCCTGCATTAGGAGTAACAGAACATGGAATGATATCCTTCAGCAGAGACTGCTGAGCTTGGCTATCAGCTTAGTAGGAGGTAGTGTATACCAGCATTTAGGGCAAACAGACTCCTCTCTGGGTGAGAGGGAAAGGACAGGATCTCTGAGCAATTTAGTCAAAATACTGGTCCATGACACTGTGAAGTTGGTTGCTTGTGCCTCCATATTTGAATTAGATCTACATATTTTTCTATATATTTTATATAATTGTGATTAAAGTTAAAAGAAAAGCAAAGGAATAGAAAAATAGGGGATTTCACCCTTGCAGAGTTTTACACCTGAAATGCATCAATAATATCTGGTGACATAGCAATGAACAAATTTACCCAAATGTGCAGACACCAATCCTTGCTTCTCTTAACAGAATCCTCATTCCATCTCTCCTGTCTCTAGTCACACACAGTGATAGTTTTGAACAGTGCTGACCCCACCGAAGTGCAAGCTGCCAGGCAGCAAGAACAACATCTCTTGTATCATAGGTGGACTTCTCGTGGCAGCACTGAGCAGCCCTTCAGTCCCGTTAGACTGCACAGTCCTATTCTGTTTCTATATGCCCACAGACAAGGCAATCCATTCATTGCAGTTAGTTCAGGACAGTGCCCACTTATATGCACTACTGGAGATGATAAGATGTTTTGGGTGATGTTCCTGTTTGTCATCCACCCTGCTGCAGCTATGAGTAAATGCCATCTTTTGGTTCTAATAGCTGAGCTGTCTGCAAAATGTTGGTCTGTCCCCAGCCTGGTTTGGCAAAATAATCCAACCATAACTTATGAATAAATTAGTAGTAGGTGGTGCTGTAGGTGGTCATGGGTACAACTGGATAAGGCAGTGAATAGTGTTGATATAATGCTCACCTGCCTTTACATCTTTCCTTCTCTAGAGACATGCTGCTTTTTACTTAATGTAGTACTGTTTTTTAAATTTTTCCTAACTGCCTCTTTTTACAGAACCATATTATGTAGAGAGCTGTGAAAGAAGCAGAACAGAGAGGGAAGAGGGGGAATGAGAGAGAGATAAAGAAGGAGTATAAGCATCTGGGGTGTGTAATCTCTCTCTTGGCATCAGCAACAGCTGTAGCAGTTTCCTAATCACAGGCTCCACAGGCACATTTTGTGCTCTTGCAAAATATAGGGACCACTCTCTTCTGAAGCAAATTTCTGCTTTCCTGCCTTTTACTGCCATCCTGAAATACCTTCACTGCCTCATAGAGGGGCTTAGTTTATTTCTGGTTTGGGTTGAAATTGTAATATGGTGTAGCTTGGAGACACTTCATGCTTTGTCGATGCTGCCAAATGTCTCCCAGCCGTTTTCCACTGAGTGCAGCATGACCTTATCACCACATGGCTGAGAGCAGTAGTGTGTATTACTTGTCATTTAAGTTATTTTGTCACTATTGCCACTCAGGGAAATCAGCAGTTCTACAGTAAGCATCTTTAAAAGCCTTGAGGTTTTCCTCAAATTCACCTTTTTAAGTAGTCTGTGATAATCCTGTTGCAAAATGTTCCTGTCCATAACTCCATTTTCAGCCTTACTTCTTCCACTTACAAAGAAAGAGGGTAAAATAATACTTCATTTATTTCCTCCAAATTAAAGAGTTTAGAGAGTCTGTACTATTAACCTGCAAATATTCATCTGGAGAGTCAGAAAGTCCATTTTGTTGCCATTATAAAGTAGTGTTGAACTTCCTGCAGTTGCCTGCAGGTGTCTGTAACTTTGGTTTCCTGACATTTCTACAGGCTTTGCTGTAGGAATAACAACTATTAGCAGTTTGAGGCTGTTTCCCACACTAAAGACACTCCAGCAGTTGGAGCTGTGTTCTCTGCTTGAACCCTCTGTACCTCCTGTGCAGGTATCACACTGCAATTGCAGGTCACTGGCTGCTTTAGTAGGAGCCCACAATGAAACTGCTGTTTGCCACATGTGTTTTAAGATCCATTCAGCCTCAGTCCATAACTGTTCTGATTCCTCCATTTTGCCTACAAATGCTAACAGGTCCCTTATGTATTATTTAAATTCTCTCCAAAATGGCCATGTTTCATGTATTTTTCATCTTTCAGCCAAATAGGTGGGTAATGTTTTGTTAAATTGTTTTAACATCTATTTGCAAGAGTTTCTGCTGGGCTTGGTGGTTTCTGCAGAATCTCAGCAGATATGTTGTCTGTTGCTTGGGCAATGCAGCTGGTCAGCACCCACAGGTGCCATCATACTTGGGAGTGCTCTTCTTTCCCTCAGGACTGATGCCTTTACTTAAATATGTTCTTGGTAGAAGAATTTCAGCTTCTGAGTGAGCTGTAGTATATCAGAGTTAAAATTCTCTCTCTGACTGTCTGCCAGTCATAAAACTGGTATATTTTCTTAGGACAAAATTTTCATCTCATTTTGCCCTGTTCTCTCCCTTACTGACAGCCATAGGAGTTGTTTCATGCCCTTTCAAGTTATAATGCTGTTTAACTTTGTTTCCATTTACTCCCAGAACTTGCTGTCTACTGTATAAAGTTCACTGCACAGGATCCCTTCCTGAAAACTGTTGGGATTTTGCTGTCTCTACAACTCTGAAAATGTGTGAAATCAAAGTAGATACAGCTAATTTCTAAATAACTATATGCCACATTGGATAGCTCCTGGGGGCATGACATGAATGCCTACATAGGAATCCTTTACAATTCCTTTGCAAAACTAGGGAAACCTCATGATGAAGTTAAAGA